TACGCACCGGTGCCATGTTTCACAGCCTGAACCCTGCCAAGCCGAGACCTGTCCCAGCCCTGTGTCCTTGGGGCTGGATTTGTCCCTCTCCCTTTCCTCAGCCGGTCCCTTCCGGGGACAGACCACCTCTGCATGGGGCCGTACCGCATTTGGGCCCCTCCATGTGTGCACTGACCCCGGACCACGCCTGGGCAGAGGTGACTCCTGCACATGGCAGGGCCGCACCACCCCTGCCCCGCCAGCCTCTCCCCGGGGACGCCCGGGCAGGCGCCGAACGTGTGCAGGCTGTGCCCGCCACCCTCCATGTGTGCTCGTCTGCTGCCTGGCGAGCAGCGTGTCCTTGGAGCGCGCCGGCTGCGGGGAGCTGGGGCAGCGCTTGGCTGGGAGTGTGAGACCCTTGTGTGTGTGTGTGTGGGCAGCGGGATGCACAACCTGCTGCTCAGGTGGCCGTGAACCCTCTCGCCCGCCCGGCCAGGGGACCCGCGGGGGTCTCCTCCCCGGGGCTCTTCGTCTGGTCCCTGGGCATCCCTCCGGCTTCGTGGTGGGTGCATGGCCAGCACTGGGCGGGAGGGACCCATCTCCCAGGCTGGGACGGGGCAGGGAGCGGGCAGGGAGCGTGGGGTAGCTCTGAGGTGGGAGGGACATTGTCTGGTGCTGCCTCTGGGCTCTTCCCACGGGCAGGAGCAGGGTAGGGGGACAGCCACAACCCCTTTCTGTTGGCAGAGCCCTTTCCACTTCCACATGGACCGGCAGAGCTCGCTGGAGACGCTGGTGGACGTGTTGGTGAGCGTCCTGCAGGCCAACAACTGGCAGGAGACCAACCTGGTGCTCTGTCACCCCTGGGACGTCTCCGGCTTCCTTGGCCTCTGGGCCCACCGCTCCCAGCTCTTCCTCCGCACCGTCCTGGACCTCGGCTACCTGGACGAGCCTGGGGCCACCCGCTACCTCCGGCAGCATGGGGAGCGCTTCAGGGCCCTCTCCAGCCCTGTGCTGGTGCTCGGCTGCGACCTGCAGCGCGCTCGGCTCGTCTTCCGGGTGGCCGAGGAGTCAGGGCTGCTGCTGCAGGAGTTTCACTGGATGCTGGGCTCCCCGCTCAGCGCCAGTGAGCTGCAGACTGAGGGGATGCCCCTGGGGCTGCTGGCCTACGGGGAGGTTAACCGGCCGCCGCTGGAGCTCTTCATCCAGGACGCAGTGGAGCTGGTGTCCCGGGCCATCGCCAGCGCCGCCCACGTCCGCCCCGATCTGGCTCTCCTGCAGACAATGGTGAACTGCAACGACAGGCGCCAGGCGGGCAGCGAGTCCTCGGGGCTCTTCCTCTCCCGGTAAGGGAGGTGCTGTGGGTGCCCCTTTCCCTCGCCCTGGCTCCATCGTATCAGGGTGCACGGAGGGGTGCTGTGCCCTAGCCCCGGGGTGGGGTGAGGGCAGAGCTGGGGGAACCCAGGGCTCAGTGTGCAAAGCCCAGCGCGGTACCTGGTGTGTGCAGCCACCGCCATGGGGCTCAGCTCCCCCCCGGTCCCTGCCGCCCCCCCCCCCGGGGACACGATTTGTGCTGGCTGCACAAGGGGGGAGGTGTCACTTCAGATCTCCCTAATGCTGCCCGAGCACAGTTGCTCTATAAATATTAATAACGCTTGGCCCTGCCAGCACGGCGAGCTGCAGGGCAGCGGGGCCGGATCCTGCTGCTCCTCCCTGTCCTTGCCTGTGCCCGAGTCAGACACCTCCTGCTCCCGGCCCCAAGCCCAGTCCCTTGCTCCTCCCGGCCGCAGCCCTGGAGCCGGTGACACCAGAGCTGTGACAGCCTTCCCCCCTCCTGCCAGGTTCCTGGCCAACACATCCTTCCATGGCCGGACAGGGCCCGTGCGTGTGGAGAACGCGACGCTAGTGCGCCTGGAGCAGCAGTACCGTGTCTGGAGCCTGCGACGGGACTCGCGGGGGGAGCCCACCTGGGTGACGGTGGGCACCTGGCGGCACGGCAAGCTGGAGCTGGAGGAGGGCGCATGGCAGAGCCACCGCCAGCGCAAGAGCCCCGTCGAGGGGCCCGGGGGGGCCCACATGAAGCTGCGGGTGGTGACGCTGGTGGAGCACCCCTTCGTCTTCACCAGGGAGGCAGATGAGGATGGGAGCTGCCCGGCCGGGCAGCTCTGCCTGGATCCCGGCACCAATGACTCGGCCGTGCTGGATGCCCTCTTCGAGGAGCTCGGTGCTGAGAACGGCTCGGTGCCGCAGGCGTACAAGAAGTGCTGCTACGGATACTGCATCGACCTGCTGGAGAAGCTGGCCGAGGACGTGCCCTTTGACTTTGAGCTCTACATTGTGGGTGATGGGAAATACGGGGCCTGGAAGAACGGGCGCTGGACGGGGCTGGTGGGGGACCTGCTCAGTGGCATGGCCCACATGGCCGTCACCTCCTTCAGCATCAACTCGGCGCGGAGCAAAGTCATTGACTTCACCAGCCCCTTCTTCTCCACCAGCCTGGGCATCTTGGTGAGGACCAAGGACACGGCATCGCCTATCGGGGCCTTCATGTGGCCCTTGCACTGGACCATGTGGGTGGGCATCTTTGTGGCCCTGCACATGACCGCACTCTTCCTCACCCTGTACGAGTGGAAGAGCCCCTACGGCATGACCCCCCACGGCCGCAACCGCATGAAGATCTTCTCCTACTCCTCAGCCCTCAACCTCTGCTACGCCATCCTCTTTGGGCGCACCGTGTCCAGCAAGACACCCAAGTGCTGCACCGGCCGCTTCCTCATGAACCTCTGGGCCATCTTCTGCCTCCTGGTGCTCTCCAGCTACACGGCCAACCTTGCGGCCGTCATGGTGGGGGACAAGACCTTTGAGGAGCTCTCGGGCATCCATGACCCAAAGGTAGGAGAGCGTCTGGGCTGCTTCAGCTGGGGTGAGATGGGGCTGAAGTCCAGGGAAGAGGGGTGTCTGTCCTTCCTGCTGCATCTTCCCTGCTGCGATGAGCATGAAAGGTCTCCCCAGCCCTGGTCCTGCAGCACAGCCCCTCTTGAGGCTGTGGGGGTCTTCCCAGGCCCCCAGGAAGCTTTGTCTCCCCTCCACCGTAGTGTTTAATCCTGGCCTCAGCTCCAGGACAGGGGAGAAGTGGGTTCATGCTAGGGCTGCTCTTGGTGGCAGAGGGGGGGCTCTTTGCCAGACACCCCGCAGGAGCTGCTGCATCTCCATGGGCTGCCCAGTGCCCCC